ACACCTGGATCCCTGTGCACACCTGGATCCTGCACACACCTGGATCCCCGCACACACCTCAGTCCCCGCACACACCTCGGTCCCCGCACACACCTGGATCCCTGCACACACCTCGGTCCCTGCACACACTTGGATCCCCACACACACCTGGATCCCTGCACACACCTGGATCCTCGCACACAACTGGAGCAGGTCTCTGAGCATGCTCAGTTCTTCTCACTTTCTCCCGGCCGGTTTCCCTCTTCATGTTTACATTTTCACTCCTCCTCACTCCTGACCAAGCTGACACATGGCCCCGGGCCCTGCTGAGCCCACCTCAGCACCACCAGCATTGACTATGTGTTGTTCTGGCTTTGAGTCTAATGATGATTCTGTTCAAATGTAAAAGTATGAAATAAATGTAATAAAAAACGTATAAGATTAGAAAAGACTATGTGTCCTCTTGTACTAACAAAAATAAAAACCCTCACAGAGGCACTGTGGGACTTTTTCCTGGCAGATGTTGGTTCTTATATCTCACAGGTACGGTGACACAAAGACGTACACAACAAAACAACAACAAAAAAGCATCAGAAGACTTGGCGATACACCAGTACGAACATGTTTAAATAACATTTCTTCTGCCCTGTATTGTGTATATTTTCTTCTATTTTGACAAAGTGTCCTTGTTCTCAGGTACGCTGCATCCAGCCTGTCTACTTTACTGCATAACAAGGTGACTTTCCCACCTCTGGGACGAGTATAGACCATCGTGTCCGATCTTGAATAATTTGAATTTGGCTTCAAACACACATCTGATCCTCTCTATCAAAGACTTCAATGAAAACTTCTCAGAATTTTTTGGCATCAGATTTGTAAATTTCATGTTTTTTGTTTTTTTTATGTCTTTTTTGTTCCAGACGTCCCACAGCAGCAGGTCTGTGAGGAGGAGGAGGTTGTCTCTGGAACCAGGAGAGGAGCTCCAGTGTGGAGCAGGAGGAACCAGAAGCTCCACAGATTAAAGAGGAACAGGAGGAACTGTGCAGCAGTCAGGAGGGAGAGCAGCTGGGACTAAAGGAGGAGCCTGGTACCTTCATGGTGACTGCTGCTGAGGAAGGAGAGCACAGTGAACCAGGAGGAGACGAGGAGCAGCTCATATGTCACACATAG